ATCTACCCCTGGCTACGGTAATTATATCTATAGAGTCCTACGACTCTCATTGGATATCTTATATTTAACTTGTCGTTCCCCCGACCACGTTACATCAGCCTACATAAGTTTAAGAGTAATTAAAACGCTTAGTCATCTAGAATGGGGTACCGAGTACTCCATTTTATTAAATCTATATAAATCACTAGTTAAATCAAAACTAGACTACGGCTCAATTTGTAATGGAAATTCTACACCTGTATAAAATGAGCAATTGGAGCCTTCAAAAGTAGCCCTATCTCCAAATTATTAGCCATCACTGGAGAACCTCCACTTCAATTACGCAGATTAAGACTATCACTCAAATACATAACTTGAATTTTGTCTACTCCTTATAATTCAACTATTCATTATTTAAATAAAGACCAATCTCCATCTGTATATGATTTAAACACGAATCTCAGAAAACCATTAAACACAAGACTTCGTAAAAAAATCTCCCCTAACACAATCTTTCAATATAAAACCTGCCTTAACCTCACATGAAAATTATATAACTATGAAATTGAAACCAGTCTTAGTGCCCAAGTAAAATATGAAACACCCCAAATAGTCTATCGAAGTTTATTTAATGGACTAATTCATACGAATAACTATATTAATTTACAAATCTATACAGATGCATCAAAAACTGCAACAGACATAAGCCTGGAAGTTATACATAAAAGTTGTACTCAAGTATTCCAATTACATAGCCATAGAAGCATTTATACTGCTGAATACATAGCTCCTTTAAAAAGAGTCAAAACAGCTATTATACTAATTACGACAAAATTGACATTTGTTCCGACTCACTCAGTGTCCTATCAAACATAAAATATAATACTCAGATCAATCCTTTAGTCATAAATATAAAAATATAATACATTTATCCAATAAATACCTACATACGTTTTATAAGACTCCGGGCACTACCATATCAGAGGAAACGAAGAAGCAGACAAAGCAGCCCGAAATGCTATAAGTAACCCCAACTCCTTAACTCGTTTCACTTATGTACCCAGTTGATACACCAGCAAGGGCGCCCGCAGAAATTTTCACCTGGGGAGGGGAGGGGCAAAGTTTATATTATACATAGCCATAACATATTATTACCTAGGTATAGTATTTTACAGTTGCATTACAAACTTAGTAAACAAACTCATAATATGATTAACTGTAGGTATAWTYTTATCAAAATAATATATGATACATCAAGAGCACTGAAAAAAAATCTTATAAATCATTATATTATATTAACTAGGTATCTAATTTTATAAAAATATTAAGATTATTAGTCATTAAATAAAAATTGCATGCGCCTAGGCTCCATAGCAAACAATTTTATTGTTTCATCTATAATGTTTGATTTTTGAGCTTTCACATAAGTTTTGTAAATATTCATTAATGCCAAGCCATTCAAGCGGTTCTCAGTAACAGTACTACGAAGCCATGTTTTAAGTCTTTTAAGCGAGCTAATTTAAAGCAAATATAAAACATAATWAATAATTGAAGTAGTAAAAATAAAAAATATATTATAAATTGTAATACAAACCTAAAAGACCTTTCAACGCTACATGTAGTAAATGGAAGTGTAGCTGCTATTAAAAGACATTTTTTTATTGAAGGTAGAAATGTGACTTCATCAAATAACTTCAGAAAATCCATATTGTCATTATTTTTGTCTTTCCACATATTATTGTAGGCCTTCTTCAATATTCTCAATAAATTCTCCATAAAATGATTTTAGATTTTGGATGATAAATTCTTCTTTTTTTTGTTTGTTTTAAGTACTCAGGATGAACTGAAATGATCTCATATTTTGAATTATCCTCTGGGAACTTTTCATTTAAAGATGTGATCAGTGAATCTAAATATTGTATATAAATAGATTTTCTGTAGAAGTCTTCTGGAACTGATGAAGGGGAGTTATTTCATAAAGTTTGTTTTGAGGATACTCTTGGAGTCATTAATGTAATGCCAAGTTCATTTAAGTACATATTAATATCTTTCATTAAAATTAGAAACATTTCTTCGTTATTAGCTCTGTCATCACTGATATATTTAATAAGGTCTTTAATATGGTGTAACACCAGGAACGTTGACAAATATTGCATACAATTGTGTGGGACTTAGATTGGCGACAAAAAACCGAAAGTAGATTAAGGGAAATTAAACACACAGTCGAGCATCGGCCAAAACTCATCTATTTAAATCGAAAAGAGGAAGTAATCATAAACGACTTAAAATTGGCCACACAAAAGTTACGCATGGATACCTAATGGAAAAGACCGAACCTCCAACATGCCGCTTTTGCAGTTCTATCATTACAGTCCGACACATCATCATCCACTGTCAAATCACGGAGTCCAGAAAAGAATGTGAAATACCAGACAATCTATATGAAGCTATGTGACCCTATGCTGACACAGAAAAAATAATCACATTTAAATAAAAAATTGAAATTTTTCACTTAATTTAACCTAATTTACATTACCTATTATGATTCTTCATTGTAAAAAATCCTTATGTACATAACTACTTAATCTAATAATTATTGTAAGCTAATAACCATGATTTTGATGCTGTAACAATGAAAAATAAGAAACATAATTGAAAAATAATAATTGCGCAGATTACTTATTCAAAATGATTAAAATGTAAAGTGTTTTTTATAAACTTCGATTACACAAATGTATAAAAATAGATCAAATATTCAATATCAAAATAGTAGATATGAAAAATATCACCTCCATTTAAAATTTAACACTAACACAATAACACTTAATGCAATAGAAGAATAAAACTATTTAATAATAATTTTGCCTTATTATATTCAATATTTAAATATAAATATGAAATCAAGAATAACGTAAATGTACCTAATCATTTTATTAAATAGTAAAATACTAATCTATAATATAACTATAAAAATCTTCTCGTACCTGTCTTTTTATTCCATTTTATTTAGTTTCTATAATATTATATACCTATTAATGAGTAATATTTATGTTATAATCTGATAATTTAATATAAAATGTGAAATATCTGCTCTCACTACAAGTTTATTACATAAGGGAAAATGCATTGAATAATAATATAGTTAGAGATGTATGTTATATTATTTGTAGAATTAAAAATTATTTTTTATGTATTTTATTATGTTATGTATACAAATATGAAAATTATTATGTTTTACGTTATTTTTATACAGTATTTGACACCAAATGATTTGTAGTAACTATGTATAACTCGCCTGTTTGTATGTCAAGGTATATGACTATGTTAAGTACAAATTGTACTAATCGTAGTAACAAAAAATTAAAATCGTTAATTACAAATTTTGTTTATAAGCATAAAATTCATAAAATTTTTGTGATTTAGGTTTATAAGCATTAAGGTTCAAATTCTTTTGACCCAACACAAGGTTCTCAGTAACTTTTTCTTAAAATAACTGTAAAAAAAACTCCAAAGTCGATAAAGAAAACATTTTGTGAGCGTATAAAATTTAAATTTAAAATATTGTGCGCGCATAAAATATATTATAATTTAAATATAAATAATATAATATATCCTAGACTGACAAATCATTTCCGTCCAGAATCGTTTTTCGTATATAATGATACCTGTCATTGCATTCAAATTTGACACATCCATTATTAGTGATCTACTCTCCAACTCTAAAATAGAGCAGAGCGATACCCTTTTTTTTTTTTTATATTTTACGTGATCAAAAAGAAAATATATTTTAAAATAAGTGTTTTTATTTTAAATACAGATAATTTGAAGTACCTACTAAAAATACATATTTATAAGAACTAAAGAGTTATTTGAATACTATTTTACTAAAATAAACTTTTACTCGTATACTTTACAAGACAAGTGATATATCGACACTATCACTATATCAGTGATATGTTTAAAATTTTAAAAATAAAACATCCCGTATAATATTCTTTCGCTCTTGCGTTAGGAATCGGCACAGAGTTACTGAAAAACGTCATAGAGAGGCAACTACCCGAGTACAAATGGTTCGACATCAAAGTGATCGCCGGCGTGTTCACCGACAAAGTGAGCCAACGTATTGCCACGTCGTTGGGAATGGAGACATTATACGAATTCGTATACTCGGCATGGACCCCTATCAACAAAACGACTGGCGAACAAAAAGAGTTCTTCAAGGAAATCGTCCGGGAAAATTACTCGGCCAAAGTGATGTGTGTGAATGTCGGCCAGTCGTCGTCGTCGTCGGTTCACAGTGGTCACCGGTCGAACAATATCGACGAACACGACATTACTTTGTAAACCATTTTCACTCGCCAATAAAATAAAAGATGTTTTATTATGTTCAAATCACATATTTTTTATACAATATTTTAAAACATGTAACTTATACTTGTATTACGGGGTACTGTGATATATTATTATGTAATACACAATTCATTCGAAATGATGTATCAGAAAGAATAAAAGATGTTCATACCTATACTGTATTATATATAGGTATATATATTATACCTATAGATACAATTATATATAAATCGGGCGTTCGTCGACGAATTGTCTGAAATTGCTCATTCCGACACATTATATTATTGTACATATAAACATTTGAAAGCAATGATAAATCATCGGATTTGAAAAATGATTATGAGTTCCCCTAACAATTCTTAACTAATCGTGATAGTTGCTTACGTATTTTTCACGGTTCTATAGGTTTTGAAGTTTTTCTCGAGACCACTGAATAAATCGTAAAACGCAATGCTTTCAAAGTTTAAAAGTAGGTACGAACGATGGACTAGATAAATATAATATATATAGATATATATAATTGTCGTTTTATATAAAGTTTTGGAACTTTTGTGCTACGAAGAAAAAGTGTCCACAAAAAGAAAAATACCTACCTTACAAAAAAAATATAGAAAACATCACTTCTGGAAAACCAACACATTCCTCATCGATTCACTCGGAATTGAATCTAAAAATAAAAAAAATAATAATAAAACAGGCCAAAAACAGTTCATTGAAGTGTCAACGCAGTAGGTACACCGAGCTGTCAGGTATTTCGAAGGTAGGTACAGAACTTTTTCGTGGCAATACATTTCTTACGTGTTAGTTATTATAATAATATGAAAAAGCGCATCAACTGAAACAGAAATATATGTACAAGTTTACATGTGTTTTTTTTTTTTGTGTCTGTCACGTTTTGGGGCAGTAAAAATGCTTCGATTATTGACTTCAATACCTCGTTCGATCAGAAAGTGAATCTAGTTGGTACTTTGGGGGGTTAAAAGTAAAAAATTCTTAATACTTTTCTAAATAATTGAGAAAAACAAACTAAAAATTAAGGGAAAAACGGGAAATTTTACGCACACTCATTTTTCGACAAAAT